ATAACATTATTTGTCAAATTAAAATTACCACTCTTATGGTACTTTAGAATGCCTCAAATAGGACCTCTACTTTGGCTAAATCTCTTTCTTATATTCACCCTTGGGTATATCTTATTCTTTATCATTAATTTCTTCTGTAAACTTCCAATTAAAACAGAAACTTTCACCCACACATCAACAATTCTAGAAAAACCCTGAAAATGATAGCAAGACTGTTTTCCATTTTTGAACCATCCTCATGTATCCTTTCACTTAACCTAAACTGAGTCTCAACATTCTTAGGGTTCCTATTCGTTCCGATTCTCTTCTGAACCTCCCCATCCCGGTGACTTTATCTGTGATTTAAAATTGTATCAACCCTTCACAATGAATTTAAGACAATCTTAGGACCCTCTAACCCAGGCCTATCATTTTTATTTGTTTCATTATTTAGCTTCATTCTTTTTAATAACTCTTTAGGCCTCCTTCCTTATATCTTTACCAGATCCAGACATCTGGCAATAACTCTAACCTTAGCTCTACCTTTATGGCTAACCTTTATTTTGTTTGGATGGTTAAACCACACCCAGCACATGTTTGCCCACTTAGTGCCTCAAGGGACCCCAAATACGCTTATACCTTTTATAGTCCTCATCGAAACTATTAGGAATATTATTCGACCAGGCACATTGGCCATCCGACTTGCAGCAAACATAATTGCAGGTCACCTCCTCCTTACTTTACTTGGAAGGATAGGGTCCTCTTTATCCCCTAAGCTATTAATTTTTCTCATTCTGGCCCAAATTCTTCTCCTTATACTAGAATCTGCTGTTGCAATCATCCAATCCTATGTATTTGCAGTTCTCAGAACTCTTTATGCCAGTGAAGTAAATTAATGTCATCACATAGCCACCATGCCTTTCATTTAGTTGACATAAGACCTTGACCCTTAACCGGATCAATTAGAGCTATGCTTTTAACATCAGGGCTCATCAAATGATTTCATCAATTTAATCCAGACCTCCTCTTTTTCAGATTTATTCCTATCTTTTTAACTATAATTCAATGGTGACGAGATGTAACTCGAGAGGGAACATATCAAGGACTTCATACCCAAGCCGTCACAAAAGGCCTCCGGTGGGGAATAATTTTATTTATCGTCTCTGAAGTACTATTTTTCTTCTCATTTTTTTGGGCATTCTTTCATAGAAGTCTTGCACCTACAATTGAAATCGGAATATTTTGACCACCTAGAGGTATTCAACCTTTCAATCCTTTCCAAGTTCCCCTTCTTAATACAACTATTCTACTTTCATCGGGAGCAACAGTAACTTGAACACATCACGCAATCCTTAACTCACACCATTACGAAGCTATACAAAGTCTAGGATTAACCATCCTCCTCGGAGTTTACTTCACCTCCCTTCAAGCATATGAATATTTAGAAGCATCTTTCTCCATCGCAGACTCAGTCTACGGGACTACCTTCTTTGTAGCAACTGGATTCCACGGTCTTCATGTGATCATTGGGACTTCATTCCTAACAGTCTGTTTTTATCGCCTATTCAAATGTCACTTCTCTAACAACCACCACTTTGGATTTGAAGCCGCAGCTTGGTATTGACATTTCGTTGATGTAGTTTGATTATTCCTTTATGTTTTTATTTACTGATGAGGGAGATAATTTTTTAGTATTAACGGTACGTCTAGCTTCCAACTAGAAAGTCTAATTGTTTAGAAAAATTAATTCTAACTACCAACCTGATCGCTCTTCTCACTCTCAGAGTTACAACTTTAATTATAGCCTTATCCTCAATTCTATCGAAAAAAACCGTTATAGACCGAGAAAAAATATCCCCATTTGAGTGTGGATTCGATCCTAAGACTTCAGCTCGGCTACCTTTTAGACTTCGATTTTTCCTTATTGCTGTGATTTTCCTAATTTTTGATGTAGAAATTACATTAATTCTCCCTCTGGCCCATATCTCTCCCCTTACAAATATTTTCTCTTGAAGATTTACAGGATTGTTTTTCCTCCTAATCCTTCTCATAGGCCTCTACTATGAATGGTATAAAGGTGCCTTAGAATGATCTAACTGGAAATGTAGTCAATAATGACATATGAGTTGCATTCATAAAGTGTTTATAAACCTTTTTCAAATTAGAAAGCGAAAGATTGCGTTTAGTTTCGACCTAAATTTTGGTTCCAAACCTCTAGTTTATTTTGACAGAAGCCAAAACCAGAGGCATATTACTGTTAATGATAAAATTGAATTTTTCCTGTCAAGGAGAACTAAGTCAGTGAAAAAGCTTCTAACTTATTTCCCGAGCGGTTGAATTCCGTTCACTTCTCTTTTTTATAGTGTAAAAAACACATTACATTTTCAATGTAAAACTGAAGATTTCCCTTCTAAAAATATCACCTACAGGCTAATAACCACCTTTGCAGCTTCAATGCAAAATTCTAATTTAAAATATATAGGTTATTATTAAATAAAAATAAAAAACACGACAATAATTCAAATAAAAAATCCTTTTATATAAACTATAATCATATTATCTTGTCTTAACTGCAAGTAAATAGAACCTTTTATCACCTCGCCAAATCCTCCCTCACCCCCAAAATATTCTGACCAACCTTTATCTCCAATCTTAAAAAAAGACTCCGCACTCCTTAGTCTTCAACGGGGTGCCCTAAAAGTCGACAAAATCGGCATAAACCACATAGACCTTACAAACATAGTATAAGAATAAAACTTAACAGTCTTTAAACTAGTCCTTGATCCAACCATGTTAACAATATACCCTAAAAGGGCCCCTAACCTCCTCACTAATAAAGCTAAAATTTTTAAAGGGACCCTCAAACAAATCATATAGAACTCTGGGAACACTACTCAAGCTAATACACACCCCCCTGTTACCGCCCCAACCCTTAATGTCATTATTCCTTTTAACATTTTTCTATGGTTTTCCCTGACAATTATTACAGACCTTATATTAGAAAGCCTTCTTATTCTATAGTAAATTAATCGAAATGTATAACATACTGTTAAGCCAGTACTCAAAACATATAAAAAAAATCTAAAAATATTAACTTCCCTTATAAATGCAACTTCTAAAATTAAATCTTTAGAATAAAATCCAGCCAAGAAAGGTATCCCACATAGAGCCAGGTTAGCTAAATTCATGCAAACCCTAGTTAAAGGTATACATGTCACTAACCTGCCCATATTACGAATATCTTGACACTCTTTAACTCTATGAATTACCATCCCCGCACACATAAACAGTAAAGCCTTAAATAAAGCATGAGTTAATAAATGAAAAAAAGCTAAATCAGCAAACCCTAAAGATAAAATACTCACTATCACGCCTAATTGCCTCAAAGTTGACAAGGCAATAATTTTTTTTCAAATCAAACTCAAAATTAGCCCCTAAGCCCGCTATAAATATGGTTAAGCAGGAAACAATCAACAAAACCCTTTGTACACATGAACCTCTTAAAGCCCCACTAAAGCGAATCAAAATATAAACGCCAGCTGTAACTAGTGTTGAAGAATGAACTAAAGCTGAAACTGGAGTAGGAGCAGCTATAGCTGCTGGAAGTCAAGCCGAGAACGGAATTTGAGCTCTCTTAGTTATAGCAGCAACACACACTAAAATTTTCAATAATAAAAAATTCCCACTCAAATACCTTTCATAAAAAATAAAATTTCAACCCCCTAGCATAAAAAATAAAGAAATACTCAATAAAATCCCAACGTCTCCAATCCGATTTGACAAAACTGTCAATATACCTGCATTCGCTGATTTCTCGTTTTGGTAATAAATTACCAATACATAAGAAATTAACCCCAATCCATCCCAACCTAAAAGGATTCTAATTAAATTCGGGCTAATAATCAAAGCCCCTATAGATAAAACAAAACCAAAAACTAAATATATAAATCGCCTGTACCTCTTATCCCGCTCATATAATCCCCCCTATAATATATTACCGTAGAGGAGATAAATAAAACCACCCCTAAAAATAAGAACCTTACTCAATCATAAATCAAAGTCACTACAACAGAGGAAGAATTTAAAGAAAAAAGCTCTCACTCAATTACATAAGAAGACCTCAAGCTTATTCTCACCAAACTAAATAAAATAAAACCCAATGCCCTAAATAACAAAAACACCAAACTCACTAAATGACTATAGGCACCCCACATCATGATTTAAAATAACTTTCTTATATCTTCGATACCACAACCCGATGTTTTACTCTAAACTATTTAAATTGAAAGGTTCTAGTAGTTTAAACAAAAAATCTTGGTCTTGTAAACCAAAGATAAAGCCCATTTTTAGAACTTTATACAAAATCAGTTATAATATTTTATATTTCACTCTCCCTCTTACCCTAAGAGTTGCTATCCTATTCACGACTCTAACCCACCCTCTTTCCATAGGACTAGTCCTACTCACTCAAACTATTCTTATCTGTGCTCTTTCAGGCCTATTCGGACCTTCCTACTGATTCTCATATATCCTATTTCTAATTTTTCTAGGAGGAATATTAATTTTGTTCATTTATGTCTCTTCTCTTGCTTCCAACGAAGCCTTTAAAATTCATTTTAAATCCAGTCTACTAATCACTCTATCCTTACCCATATCCTTTACCTTAATCTTTCTAGATCTCTTACTTCTCCCATCAAAATTTTCCAAATCTAGACTATTCTTAATTCTAAGAAATAAAACAAATTTAGCCACCTTATCAACCAGTTCCATCTACTCCATTACTTCTTTCCCTCTTACTACTCTAGTAATTTTATATCTCTTACTTACCTTAATTGTTATTGTTAGTATTATTAGTATCTCATCAAGACCTCTGCGACCTTCAAAATTCTAACAGAAAATAGTTTACTTAAAATATTAATTTTGGAGATTAAAGAAAAGTCCCTGCTTTTTTCTGATTTTTTTATTAAAACTATTTCAATTACTTAATCCTTTCGTACTAAAATAACCTCTAACTCCTTAGAAGATAGAAACCAACCTGGCTTTCGCCGGTCTGAACTCAAATCATGTAAAAATTTAAAGGTCGAACAGACCTTCTCCTGTAACCGCTACACCACAGAGAAATTTTTAATTCAACATCGAGGTCGCAAACTCTCTTGTCGATAAGAACTCTTAAAAAAAATTACGCTGTTATCCCTAAAGTAATTTATTCTCTAATCCTAAAAAGGGACCATATGAACAAATATCTCTGATTTAAACAAAAAACAGTTATATAATTTATATCCTAGTCGCCCCAACTAAACACCCTGCTGATAATAAACTTTAACACCTTAAATCACTCTTAACCAACTTCATGTATAAACTTTATAGGGTCTTATCGTCCCTCTAACTTATTTAAGCCTTTTCACTTAAAAGTTAAATTCAATCTCCGAGATAGAGACAGCTTCCTTCTCGTCCAACCATTCATTCCAGCCTCCAATTAAAAGACTAATGATTATGCTACCTTCGCACGGTCAAAATACCGCGGCCTTTTAGTCCCCAATGGGCAGGTCAGACTTTATATAACTCTCATATAGACATGTTTTTGATAAACAGGCGGAAGAGCTCTATTTGCCGAATTCCTTACACTCATCACCCCTTCAATAAATCTCATTAATTCTCCAAAATTTATTTAAAACAAACAAATTATATACTAATATACTCACTTTAAATCTTTAAACTAAATTCATAAAAAGTCTTTCCTACCTACTTAAAAAATAATAAATACTCCTCTCCTTGTATCTCAGATATAACTCCCTGTAAACATAGCTACCCCTAAGCCTAGTTAAACATACCTTTCTATTTATTTTTATAACTAAAATAATTAAACAAAGAGCTAGCCCCCTCTGTTCCTAAGCCTTGCCTTACCTTAATGCAAAGAAAAAATTGAATTTTTTTCAAAAAAAACCAGATATCTTAAGACTCGATTAACATTTCACTACTAAAATAAGGTTTTGAATTTTTTTACCACAAAAACTCGACCTTTAATTTAGCTCTTCTTATTTCGGGAAGATATTATAAATATTTAATGTAAAATATCCCTAATACACAAGGTACTTAATTTAACTAATACTTCCCATCTATTTCCCTTCAGAAATATTTACAACTTTCTGTACAGTATCTATTTATCTATCGCAAACTATTATTTCCTAGTTAACTACTTAATCCTAAATATATTTTTCATAATCATAATAATTAGCAAGTCTATACAACCAAATAAAGTCACCCCTGCGAAACCTTTTCAACGTAATGTGAAATGCTAATCTTTAGCTTTACTTAGAATTACAAACTTTAATCTCTAAACAATATACTTCGATCATCATAATAAAACTGCGTTTTTAATTTACGAATTCTTTCCCATACTCTCTTAATGTCTTATATATATTACATTTCTTTTAAATGTAAATCCTTCTCGAATCATTCATAATCATCGTAAATCATATAATCCATTAGTATATATATGGGACATTCTTAGTGTATCTTCGCACAAGGTTATTATCTATCTCATTTAAGTATTTATATGCCTCTGAAGTTGTATAATCACAATATATATATATATCAAAGCCACCTTTATTAGTTAGTTCATTGCTTAATCCATTAATCTATATATATAATACTCATAGTGTATCTTAGCACAGGGTTATTATC